GGAACAAGGTCCCATCATTCACCAACCAACAGTGGGTCCGTGGATCTCACATTCCGGCCCACAGGCCACTTTCACTTCAACAGCTGCCAGACTCAGGGTAGCTGAGCTGAAACCTTTCCATCTGATATTCAAGCCTTGATTTCACAGGCGACAGACCGGGCTCTTGCAGCCAGGTCCTACCACATGCCCAGGGCCGAGTCAGTGGCACCCTTTCCTCCACCCTACCCTCTCCAGGCGGAAGCTCCTGAGTACCAAGGGCCTCTCTCACCATCCCGATCCTCTTACAGCAGGGCATCTTCTACGGATCCTCATGGCTGAGGCCTAGCTGTTGGACTCTTGAGCAGAGACCAACCTCGCATCCATCAGGGCCGGCCACATCTCGGGGGAGGCGAACCGACAGGCAGACCTTGAGCAGGTCAACGGTGGACCACTCAGAATGTCACCTGCACCTGGACATCTTCAGGGAGATATCCGACAGATTTGGCCTACCGGTCATAGACCTGTTCGCCTCTCCGGCGTACTCCGAACTCCCAAAGTTCTTCTCCCGATTCCCATCCCCATGGGCGGAGAGAGCGGACGCTCTTCGAGGTCCATGGCCGGAAGGTCTGCTTTACGCGTTTCCTCCTCTTCCTCTGATTCCGGCAGTCATCCGCAAGCTCCTACAGGGGAGGGCAGAGATGCTCCTCGTGCTCCGTGTTGGCCATAGAGGCCGTGGTTTGCCGACCTCGTGAACCTCTCCAGGTCTCCTCCGTGGAGGATTCCTCCAGGCCGTATTTCTCTCAGCCAGGGGGTCCTGCATCATCCAGACCCCCAGTGGCTTCAGTTGACCGCCTGGCACTTGAGTGCCGGATCCTGACTGAGGAATCCTGTTCACCTGGCTTCATCTCTATGATTCAGGTCTCCCAGAGGCCTGCGACAAACTGTATCTACAATTCCACATGGAAGAATTTCTGTCTTTGGTGCGAAAGACACCATTTGACTATCTCGGATTTGACTGTTCCAAGGATCTTGAACTATTTGCTGAGGGGTCTTGACAGGGGCTTGGTGTCTAATACCATACGCAGAGAGGTGGCAGCTCTCTCCACCATACTTACCTGTGACAACTCAGTGCCGTTAGGTCATTATCCTTTGATACACTCCTTTATCAAGGGCGCCACTAACACCAAGCCCCGTGGTCCATAGGTATCCCTCTTGGAGTTGCCGTAGGTCCTACAGACCCTCACCAGGTCGCCCTTTGAGCCTTTCGGAACCTATGACATATGATCCCTGTCCCTCAAGGTCTCCTTCCTGGTGGCAATTACATCTGCCAGGCAGATTTCTGAGTTGGCGGCACTTTCCATCAGGGATGACCTATGCATTTTTCACCAGGACCGGATGGTCCTTCACTTGGACCCTACTTTCATTCCCAAGGTCAACTCTTTGTTTCATAGGGCTCAGGAAATCGTACTTCCGGATTTCTGCCCTAATCTGTCTCATCACCTGGAACGGCAATGGCATTCTCTGGACATCTGCAGGGCCCTTTGCTGCTATATCAAGCAGACAGCGGCCTCCCGCAAGTCTGAAGCCCTCTTTGTTTCCTTTCACCATTCCTCTCTGGGAAGGAAAGTGTCTGCCTCTACGATGGGCCGATGGATCAGGGCTTGCATTGCGGGGGCGTACCAGTCGCATTCCCTACCGCTTCCAGGTCGTGTCACGACACACTCAACGCGCAGCACGGCTATCTCTGTGGCATGGGCCACTCAGGCGTCCATCGAGGACGTCTGTAGAGCGGCTACATGGTCTTCGCTTTCACCTTTCGTGAAGCATTACAAACTGGACAGGTTTGCCTCTGCTGACGTCTCCTTTGGTCGGAGGGTCCTCCAGCAGGTGGTATCTAGGGACGCGAAACCGGACCTGATTGCTTCCCTCCCACATGGACAGTGAGGCTTTGGTATGTCCCATTGGTGGATTCTCCATCTCCTGTGCTGGAGAAGGGGCGTTGTCTTACCTGAACACCTTTTCTCAGCACGGAGATGGAGAATCCACTCCCGCCCCTTTTAGGTCCGTCAGGTCCAGTGTTAGGGTCTGGGAGCCTACACGCCAGACAATAGTCAGTGGCTTTCGCCCTTGTCAAGACTGGGTGTGTCCTAGTCCAGGACGGGTGTGGCAAGTTTGACTGACTTGATCTAATGGGCAGGAAGACAGAGCAACCCATTGGTGGATTCTCCATCTCCGTGCTGAGAAAAGGCGTTCAGGTAAGACAACGCCCCTACTCCTTCACTTTTGTTCATAGAATAGAATAGAATAAACGCCTAGCAATCTGAATAAGTATAGTTTAGAATTATATCCATTTTCACAAGATGCTAATGTAGCAACTCCAATATTATTTTATTAGACTGTACAAATATTTTGTGTACACATCATCCAACAAATGGAATAGTCCATGCTCAAATCCAGGCAATGTGTTTGGTTTGTATGTGGCCTAAAATGTGCGTGTTTTATCCAGGCTTGAACCAAGAATACACAAAGGAGAGAATGAAAAAAAAGTAATAGTAGTAACGACAACCCATACCTGAACAGATAGAAAGGAAAAGAAAGCACTCAGAAGGTTGTGGGTTAGGTATACTATGCTTGAATTCAAGCACTGCAATGGTGGCTCAGGAGAAGGAAGATATTGTCAAGGCTGTGGCGAGGAACAGGTGGGACAATCAATTATGCTGTACTGGAATTCAAGCATGGAAGCTAAGCAAAGATCGTGGGAAAGGTACAAAAGCCACATAAACACAGCAAGGAGAAAGGAGTGATGTGTATCAATCTTGTGCTAATTGCCCTGTTAAGACCCTTCAGGATTTTGACTCAGCTGAAATCTGGAACCACCAAATGCCTTGGCTTTTAGTTTCCTGGACTGTGAACCAGTTGGAATGCCTGGCTTCACAGCGTGTTTGTTCTGTACACAAATAAACATATTTTCCATGGACAAACTTATTATTTTAACTTCAATTCAATAATTCTTAATTTAGCAAACGTTTGTTCTGTGGCGCTTTTGTGTGCAATTACAAAAGAACACTATAGTAGTTACTGCTTATCTACAGTATATCATCAACAATCTCTCATCCTTGTGGATAAATGGTCTCAGAAACCTATGGAGTAGTGTAACGATCCATCGGAACTATCTGCCAGATCAGCTATATCCAAATCAAAAGGTGACAAGATATTTTATCATTATGCTTTATATCCACAGGACCTTAAAGAATAAATTGTCGCTTATTTATAGCTTATTTATAGCATTTTTATCCTGCTCTTCAGGCAGAACTGCTCTCAGAGAAGCTTATATAAAAATCAATGAAAAAAACTAATTCCTACCAACAGGGATATTATTTTAAGAAACATGACATAAAAAAGAAAAGAAATGAGGGAGAAGGAAAAAAATAACAAATTCAGGTTACAAAGGGAAATGTTAGTTCTTAAACAATACCCAGCTGCTTACATAGTTCAGGGAGAGGCCAAGCCTGAGGGAGGTGCTATATCTGTAAGATTGGAGAAATCTTTCCCTTCCCAAGTGATTTCTCTCCTTCTGAAACTAAAACTATTACAGCTACTATGTACTAACTATAACAAGTGGATGTTGTTTCAATCTTGACAATAAACCACTAAATATACACAACGCAGTGTTTTTCCTGTCAGGATTTGCAACATTAATAGTTTTACTGTACCATTACTGCACAAACTGTAGCAATGAGTATTACACTCTTTCTTGGATTAATCCTCCTGAACAAAATGAGATTTAATGTGGAGAAAAGCAAAGTTTTACATTTAGGCAGGAAAAATCAAAAATATAAGTACAGATTAAGTGAGACCTGGCTCAAAAACAGTAACTGTAAGAAGGACTTTGTAGTTCTAGTTCTAGTTCTTCACTATGAGCCAGCAATGTGTGTGCAACAACAGCCCAAAAAGATAATACAATCCTGGGTTGTATAAACAAAGGCATAGAATCAAGATCATGCAAAGTATTAGTACCGTTTTATAAAACCCTAGTGAGACCACACCTGGAATACTGCAACCAATTTTGGTCACTACAAAAAAGATGTTGAGATCTTGGAAAAAGTTCAGAGAAGAGCAACTAAGATGATCAAAGGGCTGAAGACTAAAACATATGAAAAACGGCTGCAGGACTTGGCTTTGGCTAGTCTAAAGAAAAGAAGAAATAGGGATGACATGATAGCAGTATTCCAGTATTTGAGGAGCTGCCACAAAGAAGAGGGGGTCTCCAAAGCACCAGAAGGCAAGACAAGAAACAATGGTTGGAAACTGATCAAGGAGAGAAGCAACCTGGAAATTAAGGATAAACTTCCTAACAGTGAGGCAATTAACCAGTGGAATAGCATGCCTTCAGAAATTGTGGGCACTCCATCACTGGAGGGTTTTAAGAGGCTAGACAGTCACCTGTCTGAGATGGTATAGGTTCTCCTGCTTGAACGGGGGGCTGGACTGGAAGACCTCCAAGGTCCCTTCCAGATTCTATTCTATTCTATTCTATTCCTATTTCTATTCTATGAACAAAAGTGAAGGAGTAGTTTCTGCCTTTTACAATAAGCTATCAACAATGAAGGAATCAGCAGTCAAGAAACATGCCACAAACTAGCACTTGGAAGAGTAGCAAAATAGGCCTTGAAAAATATATTCAGATACCATGCCTACAAAGATCACAATCATGCAGGGAATGTTTTTCCCTATGACATTCTATGAAAGCGAAAGATGGACTCTGAAGTTGTTGTTAGTTGCAAAGTCGTGTTCGACCAATCGCGATCCCATGGACAATGTTCCTCCAGGTCTTCCTGTCCTCTACCATCTTCTGGAGTCCATTTAAGCTCACGTCTACTGTTTCAGTGACTCCATCCAGCCACCTCATTCTCTGTCGTCCCATTCTTCTATTGCCTGGACTGCAAGGCGATCAAACCGGTCAGTCCTAGAGGAGATCAACCCTGACTGCTCTTTAGAAGGCCAGATCCTAAAGTTGAACCTCAAGTACTTGGGCCACCTAATGAGAAGGGTGGACCCTGAAGTAGCAGGATAGAAAGAATATTGATACTTTTAAATGCTGGTGCTGGAGAAGACTCTTGAGAATACTATAGATAGCCAAAAAAGAAAATCCCCAACAGGTGGATAGAACAATCCAGAATACTCACTTGAAAAACACATAATCAGACTTAAATTATTATATTGCAGACCCTAAAGGTAGGGTCCAAACGAAGGACCACCCAGTCCCGATGAAAAATGCATAGGTCATCCCTAAAAGAAAGCGCTGCCAGCTCAGAAATCCGCCTGGCTGATATGACCGTTACTAGGAAGGTGACCGTGAGGAACAAGAACCGCAGGGCACAGGTTCTGATAGGCTCAAAGGGTGGCTTGGTGAGGGCCTGTAGAACCCACGGCAACTCCCAAGAGGGATACCTATGAACCATGGGGGGCTTGGTGTTGGTAGAGCCCTTAATAAAGGAGCGTATCAACGGATGTTGAGCCAACAGTGCCGAGTTGTCACAGGTAAGTAGAGTGGATAGAGCCTCCACCTGTCTATGTATGGTATTAGGTGCCAAGCCCCTATCGAGGCCCTCCAGTAAATAGTCCAAGATACTTGGAATAGTCAAATCCGAGATAGCCAGGTGGTGTCTTTCGCACCAATGGAAGAAATTCTTCCATGTGGAATCATAGATGCGATTCGTCGCCAGCCGGCAGGAGGCCTGAATCATGGAAATGATGCCTGGTGAATAGGATTCCCGAGACAGGATCCAGCGTTCACGTGCCAGGCGGTTAACTGAAGCCACTGGGGTTCTGGATGTTGCAGAACTCCCTGGCTGAGTTTGATGCGACTTGAGGGAATCCTCCATGGCGGAGAACTGGAGAGATTCACGAGGTCAGCAAACCACGGCCTCTGCGGCCAGTGTGGGGCCACGAATATCACCTTCGCCCGCTCTTGCAGTATCTTGCGGGTAGCTGCCGGGATCAGAAGGAGAGGAGGAAATGTGTAAAGTAGGCCCCATGGCCCCATGGGCTCCGGAGAGCATCCGCTCTCTCCGCCCCCGGAGATGGGAACTGGGAGAAGAATCTCGGGAGTTGGGAGTTTGCTGGAGAAGCGAACAAGTCTAGAACCGGTCGGTCAAACCTCTCCGATATCTCTGCGAAGAGGTCTGGGTGCAGGCGCCATTCAGAATGATCCACATCGCCCTGCTTAAAAAGCCCACCTATCGATTTGCGTTCCCTGAGATGTGTTCGGCTCTGACGGAAGAAAGGTTGGTCTCTGCCTAGGAGCCCAACAACTGGGCCTCGGCCATGAGGGACCTGGACCAGGTACCTCCTTGCCGGTTCATGTGGGCCTTTGCCATGTTGTCTGTGAGGACTAGCATGTGTTGCCTCGCAACCCTTTTGCATAAGTGGCGGAGAGCCAGGTGTATGGCTCTGAGCTCCAACCAATTGATGTTGTGCCTCAGGTCTAACTGGGACCACTGGCCCTGAGCCAACTGCGACTGAAGGTGTGCTCCCCAGCCAAACAGACTGGTGTCTGTTGTAAGGGTGAGCCGAATGGGTTCTTTGAAGGATGACCCTCTGGCTACTGCTGAGGAGGACCACCATCGAAGGGAATTTAGGGTCTGGGCAGAAACCCTTAGCCTTTGGTTGGACGAGCTGGTGCCTAACCTTTGAAATGGGAGCAAGAACCATTGGAGTTCCTGGAGTGCAGTCTGGCCCAAGGCACAATAGCGATGCAGGATATCATCTTTCCCAGTAACTGGGAAAGCATTGCCAGTGCCACCACGCGCTCTCTGCGGACCTTGCGGACCAGGGCTCGGATGCTGTCCTGACGTTCCTGAGACAGGTAGACCTTGCATTGGTCTGTGTCTATGACCGCTCCTAGGTGGACGAGGCGGGTCGAGGGAACCGTCTGGCTCTTTTGAAAATTCACCGAGAACCCGTGGTCTTGATAATGCCAGATCCAACTGGGTGGCCGAAAGGGAGGGCGACTGGATGAGAATGTCATCCAGATAGCATTGAATGCGTACCGGTGCCAGTCTCAAGTGTGCGGCAAGCACTGCCAGGATTTTGGTAAACACCCTTGGAGCTGACAAAAGGCCGAACGGCAGGCCTTTGTACTGGAAATGATGGCCCATATAACAGAACCTGAGAAACCGCCGGTGGTCGGGGAGGATGGGGATGTGGAGATACGCTTCCATGAGGTCTACACTGCACAAGATGGACTGGAGCGTTTGCATCTTGAATTTCCTGTATGCAATATGTGAGTTCAGACCTTTGAGGTCGAGAATCGCCCTCCATCCTCCCGAGGTCTTGGAAACCAACAAAGAGAATGGAATAGAATCCCCTCCCGTTGACCAGTCGGCACCGGTTCTATGGCTCTTATCTCCAAGAGATGTCGAATGGCCTCTTGCATGAGGCCCTTTTTGATTGGGTTCTTTGATTGCGGACAAGAAATGAAGTGCCCCGGTGGGTGGGACACAAATTCTAGGGACCGCATCGGATGGTTTGGAGGACCCAGGAATCTATGGTGGTGACTTCCCATTGGTGGGCAAAAAGTGTTAGTTTGCCACCTATGGGAGGCGCTTTCCAAAAGTCACTTGGACCTTCTAAAAGGGTGACCCCCCCCCCAAAAGGGCTGCTTGCCTCATACTGCTGCCTGGCCGTGAAGAAGCAGGGGGGCTGTGTGGAATCCGAACCTGTCCTGATCGAAAGGACAGCCTGCGGGAGTATGGATTAGAACGCCTGTCAGCCCACCTGCTGAGGTGGGTCATCACTTTCCGCTTATCCTTATTCTCAGTCAAATAAGGTGCTAGGGCCTCTCCAAACAGCTGACCACCCTGATAAGGGACTGTAGCCAAACACCACTTGGATTTGGCGTCAGCCTGCCAATGCTTGAGCCACAGTAGTCGTCGTGCTGTGACATTGGAGTCCATGGTCCTGGAAGAAAATCTGGCTGCATCAGTGATGCATTAGAGGCATATTCTGATGCTGCAACCAATTTGCTCAGTTCTTGGTGCGTGCGTACCTTCTCCTGAGGGATGCTGGCTTGGAGTTAACGGAGCCAGAGGAGAGAGGTCCTGGCAAAGAAAGATGCGCAAGTGACCGCTCTTACCGCCCATGCTGCCGCCTGGTGAGTCCTGCGGAAGGTCAATTCCCATCTCTTGTCCTCAGCCTTCAACGCCTCGGCCATATCCCCCAGCACCGTAGATGAAGACAAGAGAGGGGTCAAGGGTTCATCCACCATTGGCACCTCAAGAGCGTCAGCCAAGTCTGGTGCTGCGCTGAACAGTCTCCTGTCCATTCCTCCCAGGGAAGATAAGGTGCCAGGTGAAGCCCATTGCTTCCAAAGAGCGTTCAAGAATAGAAGGGGACAGGGGACATGGTGTTGAGTCACAACAGGCTCAGAAAACACCGGATTTGGATCTGGACTGGTTGATGGACCTGGCTGAGGAATCCAATCAGGACCTATGTTAGCGGTAATGCTAGCCTTGCAAAGCAGTGGTAAGAAGAGGGCCGGGTTAAAGAGACCCCCAAATGGTGGGGGGTGGGGTCTTCCTCCTTCGACCATGGAATGTCAGGTTGGTCGTGTTCTGCAGGAGATGAGGCCCTACTATGAGAGGATCGGGGTGGTGAGGGAGAACCATGGTACTCGGGTGCTCCCGACTGGAAAAGATATGATGGGGGCATGGATGCAACCAACTCGGGTCTAGACATATGATAAGACCTGGCGGCAAAGGCCTGGTCGAATGCCAGTGAGGTTAGGGCCTGAAGGTGTTCAGTGGAAAGAGCTCCTGGAAGCTCAGCTATCCTGAGCCTGGCAGCTGTGGGGGTGCAAGTGGCCTCTGGGCCTGACTGGGTGGCCCATTGCGCCACTGACGCCTCTGCGATGACATTGGGGAGGGGGTTCCCGGCTGTAGCGCTGATCCCAGCGTTGCAACGGTGTGAGGGGGTAGAAGAATGGAAGTCTCCGCTCTTACCGAGGTCTGGGAAGAAGCCCTCGCCTCCAGCAGTCAAGCTGAAGCAGCGCTGATCCCAGCGCTGCTGAGATGACTGTGGAGATCAAGGGAGAATCCACAAATGGAGTAGTCTTTATACAACCTGCAGCTAAGTTGGGAGCCAAGCTTGTCATGTCCGTCTGGGCTGACTAAGTCAAGACTGGGTGTCTCCTGGTCCAGGACAGGCGTGGCAAGTTTGACTGACAGTCTAATGGGCAGGAAGACAAAGCAAACCCATTTGTGGATTCTCCATCTCCTATGCTGGAGAACAGCTTCAAAACTTGAATATGGGGTTATGTAAAAAGGAGATTGTTTTTGTGTGGGAGAGTAAGAGAAGAAGGTGCAGGTGCGAGATGAGGCCAGGACAAAATGGAGTACACCGTGGGGAACTGGCAGTGATGGAAGAGTGGGTGTGAATTCCAATGAACCAGGAGCTGAAAACTTGAGAGGTAGAACAGAATCTCATTTGTAACAAAAAGAAAAATTATTCTTCTTTTCTGCGATTGGAACCATTTCCCCTAAAGAATTTGTCATACCTGAACATAAGTGACAACAATTGAGTCCAAAATTTCTGTTGCTAAGTGAAATATTTGTTAAGTGAATTTTGCCCCATTTTACGACTTTTCTTGCCACGATTGTTAAGTGAATCATTGCAGAAGTTAAGTTAGTAACACTAACTTAATTGTTAAATGAATCTGGCTTCCCCATCGACTTTATAAGAAGGTCGCAACATGATAACATGATAATATGACTGACTCTGCAACCCTCATAAATTTGAGTCAGTTACCAAGCATCTGAATTTTGATCATGTGACCATGGGGATGCTGCAATGGTCATGTGAAAAATGATTGTAAGTCACTTTTTCAGTGTCGTTGTAACTTCAAATAGTCACTAAATACATTGTTATGTCGAGGACTACCTGTAGTGCATAGCTTCCAGGGTCTGGAGGAAGCAGATCTTGATCTTTTCCAAACAAGATTCAGACAGGGTTATAATGCCAACACTGGTTATGTTTATGGATGACCTGTAGGCAGATATGATGCATCCAGCCTTGCCCTTCTAGATCTCTTTGATACCTCTTTGATGACCTGGTATTTAACACTGGGAGTTGCCCTTGAAGAATACTCAGAAGCTTCAACTAGCGCAGAATGTGGTCTTGCACAATCTTGGAGGCTTTGAAGTTTGTCCATATAACACTATTACAGTGTGAGCTCACAGCATATTTCTGGGTAGAGTTCAAGATTCTGGTTATTAGTCTGAAAGACCTACATGACATGAACCTGGCTACTTGCAGGTCTGTTCCTCTGGAGGTTTCTGCACATTGCTTCAAATCTAACAGAGAAGATGCCCACCAGGTCCTGTCTCTTAAATAGTGTGATCTTCAGATAAGTTTATCAGCATGCAGATTTATTGTAATTATCATTGTTTACAGGAGAAATTCCACAGAAGTTTTCTCCACAAAAATGAAGAGATATGAAGATTTCTAACATTCTCAATGATAATGTATACACATAAACCTATTTATTTTTATGCAAATTACATATTTAATAATATAAAGCTTCGTTCTATTTATTCAATTTTACTTGGGGCCTAAGAGTTGCTGGACAGCATACAAATTTAATGAATAAGTTTAATAAATAATTCATTGGTTTATTCCAATTCTGAGCTAAAGTTTATCAAATTCTAATGTCACTATATTTTCTAAATTTTTAAATTTTTTATTAAGTCATTTGACCATATCAAATATATAAAATGGATACAAAAATACAAGTTGATACAAAGAAAACAATAGGATATGTATATTTTCACAACATGGATAAAATGCTTAAAGCCTTTGCCAGCTTTCATACACAATTTTCAAGTATGGTAAGCATTTAATTAGTTCAGGTAGAGAACAAGATTTAAAGGTCACAGTGATTTTTATTTTAACTATACAAATAATTGGCAGGGTCTTCTTGGTAGTAATTGGTCTGGAAAAATTGTGTTCTCGTTCACCAAAGATTATCACTGCAACTTTTTCAAAGTTGTTGACAATTTCTGTTCTTACATTCTAAGAACTCAGAAAATCTTAGCAAGCTTCTTTGCAACTAGCTGATTTAAAACAAGAATTATATTGAATTAAGTATGTCCAGACTTCAACCTATTTTCATTGTAATATTTTCTAAATGCATGTTATTGATATATACATATTAAAATTTTCTGAAATCTGATTCATAACCAGATAATGCAGACAGAAACAGAATTTGAAAGCTTACTGTATTATCTTGGAATGTTTCCTAGCCATAGAGACCGAATCATATGTTTGTGCAGTTGTATAATTTTGTCCCAGAACAGCTTGAGCATAAATCCATGGTTTCTGCTTTCATATAATTTGCAATATGAAATATTCCAATGTTCATTATTCAGAAAAATACTTTTTTCATAAGAACAGCTAAATAAGCCCTAAGGTGCTCCATCTCAAGATACAGATGAGATGATTATGTCCTAAGACTACAGCTGTTGGAAGTGAAGAAAAGAAAGCTACTAATGTTTTCACTAAGGAAAAGGATATCTTCCATGTTTCTCAAAGCTAAACATTGACCTAGGTTCAATCAATGACCTTTAAGATTTGGTTCCTTGCACTCTTCTTCACAGCTGGTTATGTCAGGCATGAAAGAAGTGAAACAATTATTGTACAGACTGTAAATAATTACTGCTGCATTAACTTACAAAAAAAGAAATGTAATTCCATTCTTGGAATACCAAAGAGTATATTGTATTCTTTCCTGAAACAAAGTATAGTGCTTCATTTCAAATACCAAACAGTATTTAAAAGTGAGTTCCCCTGTGCGCAACCGGATATTCCAAGGTAAGGAAGGATTAAATATTATAAAGAATCAGTGCAGACATTTTAAATTCTGAGTTGCTAGCTTTATACTGGTAGAAGCTAATTTATATTTGCCCTTCCTCCAAACAGAATACATATTTAAAATGTTATGTAGTTTTCATATAACCGTTTTTCCTAATTTTATGTATAAATACCATGTTTTAACAGCCTTTCTATTGTTTTTATGACTTTGAGTAGAAATGGATTTATTGTTTATATCCCATCTTTCTCTTAAGACAAGCAAAAATAAAAAAAAATAAAGTAAAATAAGAACTGTGGTGGAATGTACTCTGGATTCCCAGGAAGGATTGACTGTATTCCAGAGGACCAAGAGAGAGCGAAGTTTAGATAGTTTGGTTGGGACAAAGAGAGTTAAGGTAGCTCTTCTATAGAAGTCTCAGAGTGTATCTTTAATGATGATGTAGTTGCTTTAATTTGGAAACTGTTTAGAAATAACTCTGCATGTCTTTCTTGTTATTTGGAACCTGAGCAAATCACAAACAGTAACCAATATCAGTCTTTTATGAGGACATGTATAGTCATGTTCCTGGACACAGTTAACAGCTTACCTCATATTCTAAACCAAGAAAAGCTCCTAGATAAGCTTTTAAGAAAACCCTTACACAATCTGAGTTATAGTAACCTAACCTAATCATGATAAAACCATATTTGTGAAGAAATTAGTAGTAATAAGAGATAAGGAGGAAACCAAGAAAAAAGCATATAAGAAAATTAAGATAGAATAAATAGTAACAATGCGAGCTTTTCAATTTCTTTCTATGTCTAAAAGAAAGCATGGCAAAGGTTACAATTTGACTCCTAACAGCTGGAGTAGCATTTGTAAGAGATAGTCATCTAACATTGAGCCCTTGTTTGTTTATCATTGATATTTCCCTTTTCATCATAGATAGGGCAGTAGAATGATGTCCTCCACAGGGCTGACCCCATCAGGCAGAGGCAGTTCCAATGAAATGTTTACAAAATCTCCCTTCAAAGTGTGTGGTGGCAGATGGTCTGAAAGTAAAGAAAAATCCTTCTTCAAAGAAATGCTGGAGATGGTGACCCAACAACACTAGGAGAGGCTTCTGTTTTTCTTATAAAGGTATCAAGACAAAAATTTTGAAATTGTATCAGCATCTCTACAGGTATCCCATTCAAAAAGTTTATCTCTGATGTACAGCTTTAAAACTAAGCTCTCCTAAAGGGAGACAGGGAGCCTTTGAAGTCTAAATCAGTACCAGGGCACGGACTAAACAGTTTACTGATATCCAACTAGGATTCCATGCAGAGCATAGGATGCTTCTCTTTCTGAAAACCACAAATATATATCCCTTATTGAAAACTGGTCTTTGTTCAATTAGCTTACAGTAAGAATTACCTTGATTTAGATGAAGGTCCAGAAGTTCTCTTATGTAAATTTTCCTTCATATTGCTGTTTTTTCTTAAACAGTGTTTTCTCACTTTGTAAAAATTACTATATGTTATTTTGTTATGGGATTATTAATATTCATGAACAGCTGTGAAGGAAATCAAAGGGAATCAGCTGATAATTAAAGGGAAAAATGGCTAAATAAATAATTTTCCTGGACAGGATTTTAGTTCACTGCCACTGAAGAAACTGGTACAAACCTTAGAAACCAAAATAGTTATAAAAAGTCCTAAACAGCTTGAGGTCAGGATACCAGAAAAAAACCTTTCCCTATATAGATCTGGAATACCATCGCTTTAAAAATAAAGTATACACTGACTCTTCTACAATCTAAACCTATGCCAAAATAATTTCATTCACCTTGACATCTATCTGAAATTTGTGCATGATGCAATAGAACTAATTATTACTATTGTTATGTCTGCTTTTTAATGTTTTTATTTTATTTATATTTATGTGTAATGCTAATTCAATATTCTTCTCAATACTGCATGACCAGTAATATAAAATTTACATTAAAATATACTAGACAACCCATGCCCCACTGAATCATCATTTCAGAGATATTTCCTTACCTAAATGACCAAAGACAGGCAAAAAAGTAGCAGGAGTAACTTCCAACTTCCCCATTGAATTTCTTTGTAGAAAGTTGGGGGGGTGCACAGATGGGCCGCACATGTCAGGAAGGTTGCCTAGGGGTACCCAAGAGTGTGTAAGAGGTTTTGTAAGAGCCAAGGATGGCACACGGGAGAGCAGCTTGCATCAGGGAGGGCACACAGGGGGGCAGGCAGCACAGGTCAAGGGTGTGTGAGAGATGACATACAGATCAGAAAGGGTATGCAGGGGTGCACTGAAGATGCCATGCAGGTCAGGGAGAATACACAGGGGTAATGCAGGTCAGGAAAGGTCCATGTGTGTGTTCAAGAGGTATCACACAGATCAAGGAGGGGACAGGGGGGTAGTGTGGGATAGGAAGGTGCACGATATTCCCTCCCTCCCTCTTCCTCCTTCCCTTCCCAGAAGACAGGTAAGCAACTACTGTTGGGCACGGGAGGAAAAAAGAAAATTTTTGAGTGGCTGGGAAACATCACAGAAAATTTAAAATGTTCATGTTATTGCAGCAGCCTAAGAGCACTGAAGCCACAACTTTCCCACATTTCATTCCCTCAGGAAGAATGAATCCCGATGTTCTATACGTCAGCCTATTTGAGGTACCTTTGTTGAGAAAGTTTTGGCCTATGATGCACCGCTTCTCCCGGTTTAAGATTATGGACCTGATAGTTTTAGTACTGCATAGATATAGTAATTCCTATGTATTGTTACTATTGTTCATCTAGCCAAATCTCAAAAATGTTTTTCAAAGATCCAGGTCAAAGCAAGCTTCAAAATATTCATCACAGTATACTGCATACTGTAATTTAACTTTAATAAATATTATCTAAATCAGAGAATCATCTACCAAGTTTACTTACTTCAATAGAACATTAACTATAATGTTCTTCCTAAAAATCAAACAAAAATTGATTCCTCAAAATCTTGGCCTTTGTTTTATGATCTCGTTTCTAAAACAAAAAAAAAGGTTGTAAATATTTTGATAGCAATGTAATTGCATGCCATTCAGATCAAATAAGACCATAAGACCAATTGTCCCCAAAATAGAACACATTCTCTCATATATAAGAAGCATTCAGAGTTAAAATTTTATTCTGTTCAGACTCTAGGTTCTCTTTACTTAACTCCCAAATTTATTCTATAATGGAAAGGTATCCTAATTAGTTATGGAGTAATTTCAATTACTTTAGAATGCCAAAGATTGTTTACACTGGCTGGACAACAATTCCAGACGGCAATGAAATACTGTTTCTTCCACTTATCCATTCTATGATAAGTACCTTTCACCCACAGACATCTCTACTGGGACAGGTAATTTTTCCAAGCAAACATTTGCATGTGAATATGCTGTTGTCTATAACCATAACAAGAGGGCTGTGACAAAGAAAATAACTAGTTTGGATTTGCTGTCTTCTTAGAGCTACACAGATAACATGGTGAAACCAAATCACTATTGTTTCTCCAAGTTGTAAAATTTTTATCTGGAATTCTGGGCAAGCCAATAAAAAGCTTGACTACAGCAAGTTTACCACAATCTGCAAAAACACTCATTACTTCCCAGCTTTTGAAAACATGGAGCTGGAGCAATATATTTCACATACTGTGTCTCATAGGAGAAGCCGCCGATTAATATTTATGTTCTTTGATCTTTGAAATACATATTTCCAAAGGAAATAATTGTAACACAGGGTAGCAATGGTTAGGAATGTTACATATCTCAAAGATAACTGCTAATTGTATTATAACTTTTCTTGACTGTGTGTCAGACAAAGAGCTGCAATCTAGTATTGGCTTCTTGTGGCAGTTGCAGAGTCTCAGGGTCGTGTGATCACCTTTTGCAACCTTCTGACAACCTTCTAACAAGCGAAGTTAATGGGATAGCCAGATTCACGTAACAACTGTGTTACTAACTTAACAACTGCAGTGTTTCACTTAACAAATGTGGGAAGGTCGTAAATTGGGGCAAAATTCACTTAACTCTCACTTAGCAACAGAAATTCTGGGCTCCATTGAGGTTGTACGTTGAGGACTACCTGTATATATGTTTAAATTCTATACTGATAAGCAATTATCTTGCTTTGACTATTTTATAACCAAAGACTACCAAACACAAGTATGGCATGACATTAAGTTTTGATATGGTAATCACACCTCAAATAAAAGACCTGTTCAAATACAGATCTATTGCCTCTTAATGTAAATGCCTTTCTCTCAATTAGAATTCCTAGTGTTGAGAGCCGACCATGATTTTGGCGAAGAATTCTGTCATTCCATTTGTTTGTGCGTCCTTGACAATCTTTCAATCTGAAAGTTACAATAAACTTTTACTGCCAATTTCTTCGCATTTTAAACATGATTACTATTTAATAAGCCAAAATGATCAGTAGAAAAAATTCTTCAGTTTTTACTTCTTGGCGTTGAACAAGTTTTACCTTTTCTGTATAATTTGCATAAAATAAGTCAAATATTTCATACTGATGAAGACAAAAACGATTTCTGAATTGCATTCATGAACGTAAGATATGTATGACTGGGCATACTCACTGAAAAGGTCCTTTCACCCAATGAAAAATGTACTTATTCCAAGTATTGGAATTCCCTAAGAAAATCATCCATTTCAGCTGTTGGGCAAATTTGTAAAATATAGATTTAGAGATCAAAACCTATTAAATGTAAAAACAATTTTAAGAGCCAATTATATTTAAGTACTGGTCAATGCATGATAATTAATTCCAAGTTAACATAACTGCTATATAGTGAATTATTTTGTTCACCTCAAAGTAGATACTTTGATTCCTTCAAAACCTTATTACTACCCTCAGTTTCCCAATATTTTCTTAAAGGAAAGATAGCTTTAAACTAAAATTGGAAACATATTTAACAATTAAGAAAATTACTTTTATGTTCTTGTTAGGCAAAACAGTCCATGGCAATAACTCATACAAAAGACTCATCAGTTAGTTTCCTTAGAGCAGGGGTAGGAAGCCTTGACTCTTTTATGACTTGTGGACTTCAACTCCCAGAATTCCTGAGTCAGCATGGCTGGTTCAGGAATTCTGGGTATTGAAGTCCACAAGTCATAAAAGAGCCAAGGTTCCCTACCCCTGCCTTAGAGGCTGGGGCATTTTTGCTGGGGTTTTTTTTGTTGGAATGTTATTATTTCGGTTATTATTTGGAGAGCCAGTTTGGTCTAGTGTTTAAGGTACCAGGGTACAAAGCAAGAGAGTTATCTGTAAAAATGATAAAGGCAACAAACAAATACATATTATACAATATTTTATACAAAGATGAAACCAATTACTATTCCTAGCAGGATTCAAATGAAAGGAAACAAAATCAAGTAGAAGATAAATAATATGCGATACATATATTTTGGATGCCCAACTGCAATTTTCTTCTTGTTCTAGTGATTTCATCATCCACTTCCAAAATTTAATTAAACAAAAAAAAAAACGGTGAAAATTACACTAAGGTATTCTTTTTTAATGTTTCAACTGCTTATCAAGAAGCAAAGTTGCTAACATGTTTATAATAAAAAAGGGCACTAAGATGTCAAATCTCCAAAACACCACTATAAAGTTTATGCGAGCCATCAAGAAAAAGCAAATTCTGGCACCTTAATATGATTCAGCTGAGACCCAACTTTGATCCACGAAATGGTGCTCTAAAGTGTCCTAGTGGACACTTCCTTAGCTTTTGGTTTTCACTCAATCATGATTTGCTGAAATATTAAGATTAGCACTAGCTACAGCTTCTCACGTTTCCAAATGACCCTCCATATAGCCATTTTAAATATGGATTGCAAAAGCCTAATCTTAACCTAAAAAAAGAAGAAAGCAGCATTCTAGGGAAGCATCCTGCAGAAACTATCTGATATTGAAACATTTCTATTCCTACAGGCAGAATTCAATTTAAACATTCTGCATGTACACAATTCTGATGTACAGCTTTATCCTACTACACTGATTCCCATGGTCTTCTTCCTGTTGCTTTCCAATGTTGAATTTTAAATTATAAGTTCCTCAAGACAAGCCTATATTTTTACTGATTCTGTAAACATATTCTATAGTACAGCAGTACTTAAAGCCATCAGATTGTTAAATATAATTTCAGATGATCTAGGGGCACACAATAAAATGCTGACTTTAAGAATTTAAGTAAGCAACATAAAAAACTTCAAAAATGCTATACACTAACCTCAGCATCTGATGGCATTCACCATGCATATTGTTCTATTGTTCTGAAAATCATGCAAACCACCATAAAGTTTACATTGTGTACTAAAATAGCACACCTGTAGCCAACTATCACAAAGATAAATTCCCTTCACTGAAATTTGCATTGGGTAATAAGAGTTTAATGTGCTGACATCACAATGCTCTTTTATGACATTCATATCTTTTTGCTCTTTCAGGATACACCAAATATTCAGTAGTCAGAACTAGGTCTATTAAACAATTCAAGAAACGGTAATACAAACCGTGCCACTAACTGAAAAGTTAATTGTAATAAAACTCTTATTATGGCATACTTTTTTAGACTATAGCACAATTGCATTAGATGAGTGAAATGTCTATCTTAGAATATAATCTTTCTTTGATTAGAGCCACAGGGTGACAAACAGACGTAACAGGATCAGCAGTGTAACTGCAACTTTAGAGGAGGATAGTAACTTTATGTTGGGTCATTACTCAGAATTTAAGACTAAACTCCATAAAGTCAGATATAAGGATTAATTCCAATTCAATACTTTTCACATTAGTGTCTTGCTCCAGGACAGAACAGTAGTTGGTCATGTCATCATTTGTTTTAATCTGATAACACTATTAGCCATATTGCATAATGCACCACTTTCCATTTTCTTAAAAATGTGTACATATGTTAAAATAGAAAACATGATCATTATCAAATATATAGAAATCACAGGCCTAAATATTAAGTCATTAGATATTTAATCCTGATTTACTGTATAATCCACAATTATACAGTTATTATTGAGGTTATTACATGTTAAATCAAAATATAGTTGTTTGGCTTACAGTATTATATGAATCAAGATTAAATATTTCAGATGAGAATTTTTCCTAACCATTCTAACTACTTGTCCTCAATTGCTCCCTATAAATCTGACATGCTTTTTCTTTTTGGTCTATGAGTTCTCTACTATTCTATATCAGTATCTGGGACCCTATAAAAGTTTTGGATCACAGCTCCTGTTATCCCCAAATCATGCTGAAAGTTACAATCTAACAGAAACATAGCCACAAGTTTATATCTGTCATGAAGGATAAATATGTCTATTACAAGCAGCAGCAGCAGCAAGCAGCAATGGCCTTTCCATTGTTAAAACTGAACACTGAGAAAGAGGGAAAGAAGATAAACACCTTTAAATTATGAATTTGGAGATTATTATAATCATTATCAGTACAATGGATTATAAGTAGAACCAGTGTATCAATCCTGGAACAAATAAAGACTGGTTCTTCTTTTGTAGGGATGCTCAACAAGCAGGAACTTATAGATTCTGGATTTGTGATGCAAGCAAATAATGGATTAAAAAGTTTAACAAAGATTAGTAAGGTTTAACTCATTGACTAATAAGAATATGCTGGAAAATGGAACCATTATAGCATTTCAAATATAACAAAATTCAATAGATTAGATATACTGAAAGTAATAAAATCTGATATACTGCAAACATGGATTAATTCAAATAGGACAATTACAAACATAAAGGAAAAATACTGATTTAAATGTAGATATTTACAATCCATTAGTTTCTACAATCAAGATATAAATATTGGTTTGTACCAATAATCTAAGATTTTTGGTTATGCGGTTCAAGTATCAATTGTACTGCAAAACTTACGGCAGCTTAAAAATATTCATTTCACATGAAACAGACATCCAAAATGACAGAGCCAAAGGCTCCCATCCCTTTTAAAGCACAATAGCTCCTCTTCCATGGTTTATCTCTAGATCAGGGGTGTCAAACTGCTGGTCGGCGGGCCGGTTTCATCATACCGAAACCGCGCCCATCCCATTGCCGGCAATGCACATCGTGACACGTCATGTGACATGGGGAGTTTGACACCCGTGCTCTAAGATGTTTCTGTAACATCTTATGTGTCCACACAGGAAATTATTTACTTGGCCCTAATTGGCGCAACTGTGGGCAGACATATAAACATCCCAATTAAAAGCCAACTTGTTTCTGTTCAGATTCAGAGGTAGAGCCTGTCTCACAAATGCTATTAAAAGGTCCATGGTACACCCAAATGGCAATCAATCAATCAATCAACATTTCTAGTTGCCATTGTGACCAGGAGGCTGTTATCTTTCTTCTAAGAAGGTTGCCAAATTTTTAGCAACAGCTATAGATGTTAGAAACCATCTGGTTCTTCATTCATGCTATTAATTGTTAACTGGAAATTGCTTTAGGATTTTCTTGCAATTTTAAAATTTCCTTTTATAGTTATTTTGTTCCATACTGGTCTTTTATTGTATCTGGTTTTGGACCATAAATAAATGTTGCATAGAGATATTAAGAGATTTTAATATCTTACAATAATATGAAGAGTTATGCAAAAATATTAAGAAAAATCATCAATCTGAAATCTAACAGTAGATTTATACATATTTATTTCTAAACAGTCCCCAATGAATAAAATTAAATTTCTGCACACATATAAACATAGCTAAGTCATCAAGAGGTTCAAGAATGAAGAACTGCTAATTATTGGGTAAAATTAAAAAAAAATGTCATAGGAAAATATCCTTATAAATATATTAATTTGAAAAATGACTATATTTTATAAGGCATAACGTTAAGAATATCAGAAAAGGGGCGTTGACTTACCTGAACGCCTTTTCTCAGCACGGAGATGGATAATCCACGCAGTGGGTTGAGACTGTATTCCTGGCCAATCAGATCAGTCAGCCAAAGTTGCCACGCCCCGTCTTGGACCATGATCCTTTAGTCTTGACTCGAGCGCAGCCATTGACTGACAGTAAGACGTTTTGGCTCCACTAAATATACCCTATTATTCTAGTCTATAAGGGTGGGTGTGGATTATCCATCTCCGTGCTGAGAAAAGGCGTTCAGGTAAGTCAACGCCCCTTCTCCAGCACTGGAGATGGATAATCCACGCAGTGGGACATACCAAAGCCTATTGTCCCTTGGGTTGGGGAATAGACTGGTCCCGTGTGCAACTTTGGTCTAGCACCTGCTGGAGAACCCTCCTACCGAAGGAGGCCTCTGCAGAGGAGTACCTGTCAATTTTGTAATGACGAATGAATGGAGAGGGCGAGGCCCAAGTGGCTGCCCTGCATACCTCTTCAATAGAAGCCTGCATGGCCCATGCTGCTGAGGTGGCAGCACTCCTTGTGGAATGGGCTGTGATATGCTTGGGGACTTGCAAGGACTCCGCCTGGTATGCCCCCGTGATGCATGCCCTAATCCACCTACCGATGGTAGAGGACGAGACCTTCCGGCCCCTAGTAGCAGGGTGGAAGGATATGAAAAGCGCTTCCGAGCGTCGGAATTCCGCTGTGCGTGAAATGTAATGTCTTAGTGCCCTGCGTACGTCCAAGGTGTGCCATTGTTGTTCCAGGGGATGAGCTGGGTTTGGACAGAAGTCTGGTAGGACTATTTCCTGTGATCTGTGAAAAAGGGAGTTGACCTTTGGAATGAATGAAGGGTCTATTCTTAGGACTACCTTGTCCCTGTGAAAATGGCACAGGTCCTTCCTCATTGAGAGAGAAGCTAACTCGGATATCCGCCGAGCTGACGTGATGGCTACCAAGAATGCTACCTTATGGGTCAGATAGCGAATGTCACATGTTTTGAGTGGTTCGAAGGGCGCTCTGGTAAGAGCTTGTAGTACTCGTGGTAGTTCCCACGATGGATACCTGTGCACGGTTGGCGGTCTGATGTTTGCAGCCCCCTTGAGGAAGGATCGTATTAAGGGATGCTTGCCCAAGGATTCACCGGGGCTGGCAGAAAGTATAGTTGAGAGGGCGGCGATTTGCCTGCGCAGTGTGTTTGGCGAGAGGTCCCTCTCTAGGCCATCTAGTAAAAATTCTAGGATCTTGGGAATTGTGATCCCTTCGAGTAACAATTCCTGTTTAGAGCACCATGATTGGAAGCTTCTCCACGTGGCCTCGTAGATACGGTTCGTGGAGGGGCGCCTTGATGCCTGTATGACCCTAATTACACCCTGTGAGCAAGCCCCCTTGGCTAAAATTGACCGTTCAAGAGCCAGACGGCTAGTTGTAGCCATTGTGGCTCTGGGTGGGAGATCTCCCCCTGCTTGAGGGAGATCCTCTCCGGAGGAATCCGCCATGGATTCGTGCGGGAGAGACTCCTCAAGTCTGCGAACCAAGGTCTCCTTGGCCAATAAGGGGCCACAAGGATTACCTCGGCCCTTTCCCGCAGAATCTTGCGTACTACCGCCGGAAGGAGAGGTAAGGGTGGAAACGCGTACAGGAGCCCCCTTGGCCATGGGCTCCGTAACGCGTCCGTCTGCTCTGCTCCCTTGGATGGGAATCGGGAGAAGAAGCGAGTTAGGTGGGCATTGGAAGGAGAGGCAAAAAGGTCCACCTGGGGAAGCCCGAAGCGGTGACAGACCTCCCTGAAGATCCTCGGGTGTAGTTGCCACTCCGAGTGATCTATTGTTGATCTGCTCAACAGATCTGCTTGGATGTTTGCCTCCCCCGATATGTGGTCGGCCTTTATGGAGGCCAGATTTTGTTCCGCCCAGGCCCCCAGTAGGAGGGCCTCGGCCGAGAGCGAGCGAGAGTGTGTGCCCCCCTGACGGTTTATGTGGGCCTTGGCTGTCACGTTGTCCGTCAGGACCAGTACGTGCCTGCCTTTTATGCTGCTGTGAAAATGCCTTAACGCTAGGTGAATAGCCCGCAGCTCGAGCCAGTTTATGTTGTGTCGGAGATCCACCGCTGACCAGCGGCCCTGTGTCCACTTGGTCCCCAAGTGGCCTCCCCAGCCGAATAAGCTCGCATCTGTTGTGACTACTACTCTGTCTGGTTCCCTGAAGGGGGACCCCCTGAGGAGAGCTGGAGATAGCCACCACCTGAGGGAGTGTCGTACTCTCAGAGGTATGCCTACCCTCTTCCGGGATGCACTGATTTGTTGTCTCTGAAACGGGAGCATGAACCATTGCAGTTCTCTTGAGTGCAGCCTTGCCCAAGGAACTATTGCTATGGTCGATATCATCTTCCCTAGCAGCTGGGAAAGGCAGACCAGCGTCACTGACTGACCGCGGCTTACCTGTTTTACGGCTTTCTTT